TAATTGCTTTTTGCGGTTGCAAAGCTGCATGCTGGTAGTCAGTGTTCCCTCTAAGCTGAGTTTGAGTGAGCTAGCTCGCAGTTTTTTAGCCTCCAGCTCACACATTTTTGTCTCCGCTCAGGAAGGATGGCTCCAGAGCAAACTGATTTATGCAGCAGCCAAACCGCTTGCTCACAGCTTTAATGCCAGTAGCTCAGCTCACAAAGTAGAATTTTTGCTCACAAGACTCCACAGCTTAGAGGGAGCATTGCTGGTAGTGTTGCCGCCGGGTCCTCCTGGCCACCAGAGGAGGATGGGGGGTAGGGTTGCCAGATCCGGGTTGGGAAACGCCTGGAGATTTGGGGGTGGAGCCTGGGGAGGACGGGGACCTCAGTGGGATATAAAGCCATAGTGCCCACCTCCAAAGCATCCCTTTTCTCCATGGGAACTGATCCCTGTTGTATGGAGATGGGGTGTAATTTCTGGGGATCTTCAGGTCCCCCCTGGGGGCTGGCATCCATGGAGGATGGCCCTAGTGGTTTGCTTTTTTGAGGAGAACTGCTAGGATTCTGGGCTTCATCGCCATGGCAGATGCTTGAGCCCTGATAAAGGCTTTTTGTTCTGCAAATATCAGTTGCTAGAGCCGGAGGGATATTGGGGTTTCCCAGGTGCCATTCCTTGACCTTGCCGTCTGGAACGCGGAAGACACTCTTCTTTCTTAACATAAGGTTGCCAACCTCCAGGTGGTGGCCGGAGATCTCCTGGGATTACCATTGATCTCCAGGCAGGAATGATCAGTTCCCCTGGAGAAAAGGGCTGCTTGGGAAGGTGGCATCGTACCCTGCTGAGGTCCCTCTCCTCCCCTAGCCCCACCCTCCCCCAGACTTCACCCCCAAACCTCCAGGCATTTCCCAACTCGGACCTGGCAAAATTATTTTAACATCAAGTCCATGAATGGCCCAAATTCACGGTGCTGACATTTCTCCCTGAGCGCTGTAACAGCATTGCCTGCTGTCTTATCATAAGGAAGGTGACAGAACTGAAACCGTTCAAAAGCAGTGTTTTTTTCTGGTCTCTCAATTATTTTTGAACACGGCAAAGGCTTCTCCTGGTCTCTTGTTTGCATTGTCTGTGTAGGTACCAGGCACATCATTATATCTTTCCAGTACCTTATATCTGATAGACAGACAGACAGACAGACAGACAGACAGACAGACAGACAGACAGACAGATGATATAGATAGGGCCGCGGTGGCTTAGAGGTTAAGACGCTGAGCTGCAGACTGGAAGGTCTGTAGTTTGGCAGTTCGAGACCCGAGTGCCGCGTGACGGAGTGAGCTCCCATCTCTGGCCCCAGCTCCTGCCAACCTAGCATTTTGAAAGCAAGAAACTGCAAGTAGATAAATAGGTACCATTCAGTGGGAAGGTAATAGCATTCCGTGCCCCTCGGCGTTTAATCATGCCAGCCACGTGACCATGGAAACGTCTTCAAACAGTGTGGCTCTTTGGCTTGGAAATGGAGATAAGCACCACCCCCTAGAGTCGGATTCAACTGCATTGTGAAGGGGGTTGGACTAGATGACCCTGCAGGTACCTTCCAACTCTATGATTCTATGTTTCTAACCCCTCCCTCCCTCCCTCCCTCCTCTGTGAGTCTTCAAAAAAGAAAATCCAGACCCATACAGGCAAGACTGACATACTGGGAGCACGGAATCCCCACACCCTGAGCCTCCTTTGGCGGGGAGGGCGGGGTATAAATCAAATAAATAAGATACTGATTCCTTCTTATGCTCTCTCTGGCTTTTTAAAAGTTTGCCCAAGTGGGAGGAAACATCCTCTTTTGTCTTTGGTGATGGAGGGAAAGAAAATAGAACCGGGAGAGAATGTCAACATAAAGAGAGAGAAGCGGAAATGGGGCAGGGCAGCGGGCAGCACTTAAATACCCACCTAAACCATTCTACTTTGGAAGGGATTAGCAATTCGAAAGCGGATGAGAACAAAGAATCACAGCAAAAGGGGTTTTGGTAGCTGCAGGGCAACAGTGTGCTGGAAGCGGTCTGAATGCAGATTCCCGTAAAACAAATGCAGAAACAAG